GTTCCGGCAAAATCTTTATGTTGAGAGGTAGTCCTCTAGGCTCACCACCTTGTATATCTTCTCCCTGCATACCTATAACAAAATTCGGCTATATACAAGGAAAAAAAATAGAAGAATCTCGGATGCCGTGTTAATTTACGAATGTGTGACGTCATTACACATATCATTGCTTTATTATCATCTGCGCACGTTAAATTATCATAGTATTTTTTCTTGTCTCTCAAACGCAGACAGCTCGTGCGTGTCATAAAATTACGCAGTATGAAAAAAAAAAACAAAACAAAAAGCAATCAAGCCAGCTCAGCTAGTAAAAAACAAGCTGATAGTAAAATCTATTAAAAACTTTGAAAGACATATAAATGAAACGTAAGACACGATGAATAATACATACCCATACGTATTGGATATTTCCCGGTAAAAAAGGCGGTTCTGGAAGGTGTGCTGGATTGTAAAACGTAATGTCTATTTAATATAATTCCGTTATAGGCCAAGGCGTCTATATTCGGAGTTGGTATCTGATCCGAGCCGTGAAAACCGACGTCGTTCCATCCCTGAAAATTTGGAACGTTATTCTCTATAGCGTATATAATAAAAATTACATGATAGTATATAATAAGAATTAATTAACAGGTTTTAGCGTAAAAGTTAATAATTCGATTGCTTATCGTTTATTTTGCTTTGCAATCGTTGTAAGTTGGACGCTGGGCGTTGCATGTATAATTATATGTGCGTATATGAAATATTTTCCTCGCACGTGCACGCTCGAATGCGTACGCCGGAAGTCCAACATACAAAAATTATGTGATCGAATTAAGTAATTGACGTGTAGAGGAATTAGCATTCTGTCGTGTAGTTCAGAAAGTGAGTCACAATTTACGACGTGCGTACTTGTTGATTGCGGAGGCGTAGATAATACGTAATCCGCGATAATTAACTCAATTAAGGATAATTTTTATCCGGGATAGAAAATTTTTGTGCAAATTAATTATATCAAATTGAATGTACAAAGCAAGCGTCAATAATGCAAATAAAACGATAGCAATTTATGTAAACCGCTATATGTAAAACGCGAGGCATTTACATATATCTGTGAATGTTTTAACCCTTTGAACTTGGTTATCTGTTGCTAGTCATCAGAGCCAAAAAATGTCACTCATAGATCTATTCATAGATTCTCAAATGCTTCAAAAATATTCTCAATAATTTAAAATAAAAAAAACTGCATATTTTTTGTATTAAAATAATATACACAACATAGCAGCATAACAGCACAACAGAATGTTTCTAAATCTTACAAAATCTGAACATTATTTATTTCTCTATTATATTTTGCACAAAAAACAAACTCAGAAATTTATTACAAGCCAGCTATTAAGTTCAAATTATTATGAATGAAAAAAATTAATATTCTATAATATAAATTGCCATATGTTTAAAAAAATAACGTTCATATATTTTAATTTCTATGGATTTTTAAACTATCTTTTCTTTCTCAATATTTTTTCTAATTTTGACTTATTAATACACCATAAAATTTTATAATTAATTACTTATAAAAAATATAGTATATAAATATTTAATTATTTCAAATAATATGACATTTCTAATTTTTTATTTCTAATTAAATTTCATTAATTTTCACGCATAAATGCGAGAAAATTAATAGAAGAAAAATAAAATAGAATATAAATTCGATTATAAAAAAGATAAAGAATATTTATAAAATTTAATATCTGTTAATTTAATTTAATTTGTCTATATTTTATCAAATAATTATCAAGTGAAACGTCAGTTCGTTTTCATTAGGATCTTACCAAATCATCGGCCATGATAACGATTATATGCGGCACCGATTGATAGAAACCGAATGTAGCCTCAAACAGTAGAAAAAAATACAAAACGGGATAAATACTATTCCATAGCATAAATAAATGTGTCATCTTCGTGATGATTTAAAGATTTTCGAATATAAATTTAAAGATACTGGAAGAAAAAAAGAGATAAGCTTATTTAAGCTTCACTCCTTATTCACGCACGTCTTTTCTTCGCACTTTACGTCACTCGGCAGCGACACTTGCTTAAGCAAAAGAAGGGTACATTATTTACACCCCATAAATATACATCGGCGAGTTCTCGCGAGATACAAAGAAGCAAGAGGAAGACACAAACATGTTTATATAGCCCACCTACGGACGAACGCGTCATGAATGGATCATGCGAAAGGGAAGGGAAGATATATCAAATGATCGCGATAATGACGAAGTGTCAACGTGTTTTAAACTGGGTTGCTTCTCGTATTACAACCTATTTTCTCTACTTATCTAATTCCCCTTGCTACTACAACTGTATAGAATTTAGGAGACGTAAGAGAGAAGCGCAGAAACGCAGTATCCTTTTATCCATTCTCACGTTTAAGATCTCACAGCATCCTCATTATTAATGATATCAGATAACGTTTCCTGCTAAAAAATAAAAAAATTGATAGTAATATATCATAAAATATTTTAATTTTATTTCAATTTTATTTTAATTGTTGAAAGATAAACAGATCGTAAAACAAGTTTCTTAAGAATTTATTGAAACTTTAACTATAAGTTAAAGTATTATTTAAATATATTATAATGGTAATTAAAATTAATTACATATTTATAATATTACAAAAAAGTCAATATTATATATGTATTTATTTATTTACTTATATTGCTTTTTATTTCATAATTTTTTCCTTAATCAATATTAATTTTCCCTATAGGTTATGCGTGTTTATGAAATATTTTTTATAATTTTTTAAAATATTAATTTGAAAAATGACGCATGTTTATAAAATATACATTAATTTCGTATACAAGTGTTACTATCCATGACAAGTATCATAAATAAAATCAATTTTAAATCCAAATGTATTGTTTCGAAAACAACATTGTTAATCAATATTATTAAAAGATTTATTTTTATATCTTTTATTTATTTTTTCATCAGAGAAATTAAATCGACTGCATGATTTATTGATCATTTTCAATATATATCATATAATGATAAATATAGGTGGTTCTTCGCTTCAATAATAGGTATCATCGCCATCATCATTGCCGGAGAGATGATGTATTCATTAAAATGCCAAAATAATTAGAAGCGCTTTATCCGAAAAGTTCGATTAAATGAACGCATAGTTACATCACAATCATAATCTTTAAAATTGACAAAATCAAATAGTTGAAGAGTCACATATCAAGAGTTCTAAGTATAGTACACAATCTGGAAACATATAGGTAATTGCTCGTAAGAATAAAAATATAAAAGAAAATTAACTAGATACGGAAGTGGAAATGAAAAAAATAAGAGCAACGCAAATTATGATAATAAATTTATTTGCCCATATTGTCTTCGTACATGACGTTTAATAAAACATATGCACGCTTCGCAACAATAAATGCTTAAATTGCAATACCTATCATAAGAATAAATCCTTTTACAAAAGTCTAAAAATGACTAGGTTGGATCAAAATTCCATATCCCCTATACATTCAAAAATGTTATCAAATACCGCGCGACATATACATATATATAAAATGTATTAAAAATACATAAGATACACAAAAATTTAAATATCCATTATTTTGACCTTCAAATATAAATTATAAAAATCATTTATTCGAAAAATTATGTATTCGATATAGCTCGATAGTTTCGCTTTGGTTATATTTGCACATAAGTCAATCTGACAAATATGTTACATTCTCATGATCTTGAAACTTATTTAAGCTATGTAGATTATCCCACCATTGCAACAGCTTAAATTTATATATTAGACGGAACCATGGTGTTAGAAGTGATGTGGTCTTCATAAAATTCTCAATCTCCGATCGAGATACCCATCGAATCTCGCTCACTTCATCGGGATTGGGATCTATGGTAATATCATCTCTTTGTAAAAACAGAATGTAATCGATCTCATGTTCGCCCCAGTGATCATTACTAGGTGCTTGATAACGAATTCTTGTCAAATAAAAAAAGTCAGAAGGTTTAATTTCGTTACTAGGTATACCCAACTCGTAATTAAGCCTTCTTATTGCAGCTCTGCGTACACCTATAGCATCTTCTTCTTCCATTTCATTAGGAATCTCCGCTAATGGATGACTACAGCATGTATTTGTATAGTGATCTGGGAATGTTATCTGTAACATATATTTATATTGTATATAGATTGAATATATATATAAATTGTATAGATATACAAATAGATGATGTTTGCTTTGAGAATTTTGTTTTTAATTTATTGACATAGGTCTGTTGCTCACAGGATGCGTCAATATTATAGGCAGAAATTGATAGAAATTGGCAGCGATAGTCACTTTTTCGTTCTTATGAAAAAGTAATAAATTAATTGGCTATTGCTGCCAATGTGTAACTTCTGCCATGTGTAACACATAATGGGTCCTGTAACAGATCTTAGGCAAATAAAGTTTTTAATTTGGATTTTTTCAAAATATTTAATGATAAATAAAATTCATTAATCCAATTCAAATAATTGTTGAAAAAACATTATTCTCTAATTCATTATCCAGCACACATTTTAGTTTTACAATTTCTCTAATAAATTTTACTAAAGTCTGGTAATCCAATCTTTCACTTATATAACTAAAATATCATTCTTTAGAAAACATTAATTTGTTTCGTAACCACTTGTACACTTAACTCACCTTGTTACTTGACCGTTTCTGAAGCAACAACTCTCCTTTACTATTGAACAGAAAAATACTAAATGCTCTATGAAGGGGAACAGTTCCCTCTGCATTAAGCTCATGACAGGCTTCCTTGGTTGCTTCACCAATGGGTCTATCCAGTTTATCCACAAGAATGCAGCGCTCCTTCAAGGCAGCTCTCTGCAATGGTGCTACTTGTGATATATAATCTCTCTCCATAATGATCGTTCCTTTGTGCACAATACTACTGAGATTTTTGAATGCTCCACGGAACATCACCTGACAGTCAACCGTACTGCCGAGCAGTGACTGGAAAACGACAAGACATGCGATATTTATGTGGCTCTGGTATTTAGCTAATAATACATTTACATGAGAACGTAATGTCAAAGGCATATCGCTTTGATTGCGAAAAACGGGGAATTAATTGACACATAGATCAAGAATCCGCATACATACATATTATACGTTGAAATGATACTCGTATCTCACGAACGTCCTCCTGAAGTGTTAGTGTGTTCGACTCTTCGGGAAATGACCAATCACGAGCGGATCTGTCATTCATTTGCATACGGTCATGAATGACGTACGTCGATGAATTGAATTTTTTAGATCATCTAAAAAAACGTAAAGTAAAACTTAAACAGTAAGCAAGTTGACCACAGCCAAGAGATTTAAAATGTTAATGTCTCACATTTTTGAAAATATTCAAATTGAAAATATTCAATTTGATTAGTATAATGATGCTTGATTTCACTACTGTTAAAGTTTTGCTGCTTACGTTTTTCTATGTGCTAACCTTGTGTTGTTCCTAGGATACTTCTTCTTCTTCTCTTTTAGTGGTCTTGATTTTAGCCAGATTAACAAAGGTCAGGAAACTATTTTCGCTCTAAATAATCAATGTTGAATCTCGCAGCGATCGTGGTGCTACAACTCTGAATGCGACTATACTAAAGCGAATTAGTTCAAGCTGTTTTCCAGTGACCTGATTTACCAACACTAAGCAATTGCTAATTTCACCGGGATTAACATAAATGCGAAAGTCTACACAAAGAAAATTGATGGCAAGAATTTCTTTTATGTGAAAAGTTTCGTTAATTATGTCTTGGAAAAAAATCTAAAGAAAAAAATAAAATATGCATCAAAAAATTGCTGTATAATACTTTAATATATAAAAAATATATGTAAGAACTATAATGAATTTGTTTATAGAATAAATATTATTTTTTTATATTGATCTTTTAAAAGTAATTAAAAATTCTGGAATAAATTTATTAGTTTATAAAATCTTTTATAAAAGATTTTTTAATCTTTAACTCATGTTAATGCTCACTGGGAAGCTACTATTGAAACCAATAATCTTATAAAAATTTGTATAAAATTTATTTAAAATAGTTTAATAATATTAATATTAATAATCAAAACATATATTATAATTTATTAGTAGCCTAATATTTATGAAATGTATATTATGTACGTATATTATGTATGTACGTATATTTGATAATAATTAATTTTATTTCTTGTATTATCTTGAAACGATGCTTCCCAAAAATATGTAGGTAAAGTATCACATAAATTATTTATATTTGTATAATAATATCTTAATATTAAATCTAATGAAACAAACCAATTAATATAAAAAAACATATTGTTTTTCAAAATTTAGAAATTATATGTATCAAAAAAGAGTGTTGCATATTGCATATTGCTAATTGTACACATTTTTTTAAAAACAATTATATATTGCATAATTCTTTTTATAACAAAATTAGTTAACTATAAACTTCTATTTGTTGCATTTACCATAAGAATGCTGCTTTTTGTCTTAACTTGTAAATTTCCACAAGAGGGCAGTAATTTTCAAATTATTAGCTAGTGATTCGAATTTAGTGGTGAACAGAATAAACAATTTCAGTATAGGCGAGCTTTATAAAATAATTTTGGATTCACAGCAAACCACAGTTTCAAAGAAACAAGATAAAAATAAAATAAAAAGTTTCTTATGGAAATCAAGCATACAATAGTTGCAGAAATAATTAGCAATTGATGATTTTTTTTGCTGTCAAGGAGGAGTTAACCTATTTCGTTGAAAGTTACAAATTTTATTTGAAGTATTCTCACAGAAATTACACGTTATCAAAGAATAATTTTAATCACTGCGAACGAGAATAAATCATAAATATGTTGAAGTTTTCGAGATTATTAGTAAATCATGTAAAAGCACTGGCAACGCCTGCTCTGCTGAATAAAGCAGATCATTTGTCACAACAAACACGGGTAATTCCTTTTAATATTAGATATATAATTATTATTTACATTTATATTATTTGTATTCACGCACATTCTATAATTCTTGAGATTTTAACAAATTCTTCATGTATTGATTTTTGCATGTATAGATTATATCTGATATACTTGCATTTATTTATTTATTATCTTTGCAGAATACCTTTATTCTCAAAAGAAGAAATCCAGTTCCACTTTACAAAAAGAACTCCAAACCTCATCGCTTAAGATCAAGACATTTTATCTATGATCTTGTTGAAGATACAAATGTAAAAAGAAAAAAGCCACTTGATTTGATTTTAACGGAATATGTATCGGGAATTGGCAATGTAGGCACTCGAATATCAATGCATCCAGAAGAAGCATATACAAAATTTTTATTACCAAAACGGGCAGTCTATGCCACGCCTGAGAACATTGAAAAATATACTAAATTAGCAACTGATCAAGGAGATGATACGCTGTTTAGTTCTGTCTCGGTAGAGAAAACAATAAAGTATCTGTCGCGAAAGCGGATTTCCATTGTGATGTCAAAAGATGTACCATGGACATTGGAGAAATGGCATGTAAAAGCAAGTTTCCGCAAAGCTGGTATTCATGTACCTGAAGATGCTATAACAATGCCCGAGAAAACGATATCTGGGCCAAACATGGATTTCGAAGGAAAACAATTTTATGTGACTCTCACAATCAATAATCGCGAACAAGTGAAGGTGAGATGTTGTCTGCATCATTGGACACCGGATAAGAGCGCACAGGTTTATGTCAAGGAATTCTGGAAACTGCCAAGCGAGCCAATATTTCCCGAGGATAAGCCGATATTAGACTCGATGCCTCCCTCCTGGATAGAAACGCAGAAGACTGTGTGATATCTGTAGTATATTATATTATAAATAAATGTTTTTAAACAGAAATACAAGTGAATATATGTTTTCTTAAAAACTCCCAGCTTAGATCTTGAATCTTTTGTAATCATTGTTTCACATAATTATTATCTTCTCATACAATGTGATGAGGATCTTCCAATAATTTATATATACTATTCTAATTTTCGGAGTCTAGTAAGTACTTTCATATATACTCCCATGTACGACTATACTTCTTAGAATCAATAATTTGACTCTGTTATACCTTCACTATGATTGTAGAAGGAGAACATGTCTATTTTTAGAAACTGATAACCTGGAAATTTATGAAATTGGAAAGCTGCATATCTCATAAATGATAATTAAGCATGGGCGAGAGACACTTTCTGTGGGACGAGATTACGGAGGGATTGATTCTAACGAGGCATGTGAAAATTTTATAAATTTATTTTAATATGTATTTAAACTCTCGTTTAACTTTCTTTTAAGTTTTTTTTATTTCTTACACATAATATAAGATTTATTTGAATGTAATCTATTGCAGTGTAATAAAGGCGGAGGATGAACAAATTAAGCGACAAAAGAAGCAAGTTACTGACATCCCTACATCAGAGATTTATTGTCCGCATGCGTATTTGATTTTGAACTATCGGGAAACATTAAATGATAGTGAAAAGGTGAGAACCAGAACATAACAATTCTTTACTGATTTCATCAAAAAGAATACTGTACTTGCTATCTACTTTTTGTAGATCAAATTTCGGAAGCATTATCTAAGAAAAGTGACGCCAGACGAGCCAGATATTATTATTCTGCAAGACATCAAAGATCTCGTGCTATTCCTTCTCGTGACGCCTATCAGTCCACAATTTATAAACTTTCTGCATTTGCCAGCAACAGATCAATTTCTCCGAGCGCTGATTATCTACTTTCAACGCTTTGTGGAGATATGGGAAGACTTGGTACAAGAGCGAGCAGCTACTATGAAGAAGGCACCGAATCCACTGGAGCGTGGCCATAGGTCTCGATACGCCGAGGAATTGCGGGCTCTGCGTTGTGTCTTAGGTAGAGAGTACTGTGACTTGTTGTTAGGTTGTCGAGATGGGCCCCGTTATCATCACATGATGAGCGGCAGGAAACGCGCAATCACACAATCGCAGGGTGAGAAAGACCTGCGGATCTACGAGCCGTTGATCAGCGTAGCTCATCGGGTTGTGTGGATAGCATTACAGCGGAAACATTATACTTTGATCGGTACGGCGAAAAACATCCTAAACATCATGAATATCGTACATTATTGGATGATATTAACATCATATTGTAAATCCTATATCGTTGAAATGCTGATATACAAAATTTACGAGATGATTTGAGATTTGATCATCGTATCGCTGATTGTCGTTCCACAGAATTAGAGCTGCACAGGCTGCTCCGAACCGAGGCGTATAACACTGCGCAAAGACAAAGCGGCAGTCGGATGATTTTGGATATGCTAGAGGATGATATCCGTATACTACACGGACCCAAAACAATTTGGAAAAGTCGAAAATTACTGAGAAACTCTCCCTTACCTCACGAACTGATGTACACGGATTGCGACTATCGTCTTCTATTGTTAGGTGAAATATATGCTATTTACAGAAATGATATAGAATTTATATTTCATTGCGATTCATGTAAGATAATATAAATTTATATTTATATATTTTATTTATATATTAATATTTATATAAGATATATATATATATATATATATATAAGATAAATAAATTACTTATAAATTATAATATAAAATATATAGAAATAAATTTGATATAATATATATGTATAATATTATGAGAAAATTTCTATGAATTTGTATAAGAAAATAGCATGTCCATCTTGAGGATTTCGATCGACGAAGATTATATATAAACAAAAATTAAATTGATTGGAATTTAATAAAAATCAGATTTATTAAATTATGACATATTGTCAAGGATAGGTGTATATTCTATGGAAAAATATTATATTATATATAAAAATATTATATATTATACTGTTTGTACTTCCACTTAAAGGGATGATAGATATCGATCTGCACCATCCGAAAATCGCCTATCTGAAAAACGTTCTTCTTGTCGAGGAAGAGATGTTATCTCAATTGGGAATTAAAGTAGGCATATTGGGTCGCAATCGCTCGGAGTTCGACATAATGTTAATGCCGTACGAACCGGAAGAACCAGCGAAAATTGATTTGTTTGATAAAAGATTATTGGAGACACGAAAGAGTATCTTTGTGGGTAAAATCTTGGTAAGCATCTTATCTCTGTAACACAGAAATGCAAAAATCTCGATTGAATACGCAATGAATTGAACATCTCTGCTTCACGATTACAAAGGAACCAATTGAAGATATCGAAAGTCTACCCGAATTAATTGAAGAATTTCCAGTCAGAGAAATTAAGGTGAACAAGAAATATGATAAAATTCGCGAAAAGGCCCGAATAAAATGGATACTTCGAGAGATGAAACGACGTGAACGCAGAATTATCGACACTTACTCCATAGCAACAACTATAGATTGAATATTCAGGATAAAATTCCCCTTTGTATATGGTATAACAAAAATATTGCAAAAAACTAAAACGGTATTTATATATTAATAAATGATAAATATTATAGATTCGAATATCGATACTGAAATTAATGAATATAATATTTTCAGTTCTTTCGATATGAAAATGAAAAGCTGTTTCATTATGTAGTTTGTTATATCAATCGATATAAGCTGCATTATCATTAGGACATGAATTATAAGGATGGATATAAACGGAACGCTATAACACAATATAAAAAATATGCTTATTATAATTGGTAATGCCTAATCAAGAGTAATAATGCTGATATTTTACAAGAAGGTTTACACATGTAGGTACATTTCAAGCAATGCACTTTTTACGATTAAATTCGGCATTGTCCTGTCCATAAATAATTATTATACCTAATCACTACCACTATATACGTAGTAACAATACATACGACGTTAATTTTTAATTCCCAAAATGGATCAATTTGCAAATTATTCTGTTTCCGTTTGAATCTATGATCAACTCGCTGTTCGCGTTTTTTGTAATCGTTCACATTCAGCTAAATGTTCATTAAAGTGCGCTTTGCTCTAATATGACTCGTTGAATAAATAACACGCATTATATTGCAACATAAAAGAAAATAAAAGAAAAAGAGGTCTCAATGTTTGGCACAGCAATTTTGATAATAAAAACCAGATTTTTATAAATATCAGCCAGTCATCGCGCGTACACTTTTTCGCAGAACGAATATCGTTTCAAGTGCTGTTTCATCGGTAGCTAAATTACGTAACGTATGACAGTTTGCCGACTTTATTACGATATGTATTAAGATTACGACTCACAGTATATCTGCATATCGCGTATCCATTTCATATTACTACTATTACACGCGGAATTATAACAATGTACTGTTGTATACGTGTGTGGTAGTTTAGAAGTCAAATGGCAGTAAACAACTTAGCCATTCTCATGCGTTATCGTGTTATCTAGTTTTACTTTAAGAATCTGCCTTTATAACCCGTTGTAGAAAAAAAAGAAAAAGGTTTTCTCACGATATAATCATTGGAGAAGTGCTTTCTTGAGAAATATATACGATAACATTTTTTTACTCAACTAGTACATTGCGTGTCATCTTCTCATTGTAAGGCTGCAAAGCATGTTGCACATTCGGTAACAATGTTAAAAAATGAAAAATTTTTCGGCACTTTTCGCTAATTTTCATTTCACTTAAATATTAGATCTATTCTATCGTCGCTGAACATTTGTCTACATGAATATAATACAGAATGACGTAATATTGATTACGCATTTATTAATAATATAATGTTATTCAATAAATGTGATCATTTAAGCTGTGTTACTGCGGTGATCAGATGAAAAGAAAATGGGATTATATACACTACATGTTACATATATTTATGTAGACATATGTATGTTTCTTTATAAATTCAGTCATGTTCCTATAGACGTATTCTCTATGCACAAGGTTTTGCAATGAAAATTAAATTGTGGAAAAATGTATTTTATTTAAATAAAGTTCAGATAATATTTTCAAAGGATGATACTGCACAAGATGTATATCCTAATTTCATCATTTTTTTTCATGAGCTAT